GAGCCCCCCCTCCTCCGCCCTGCGCTCGCTTCCCAACCTGGGTTGCCTGCCCGCCTGTCCACTCCATCAGGCCGTGAGCTCCGGGGCTGAGACGCCCTGGTCTTTCTCCAACGTCCCCATGTGGAGAGGGTCAACTCAAATGTCTATATGGGGCCAGAGATCATGGCAGTGAATGAGGAAGGGACCCCTCTGAGGGGTGCACGTCTGGTGTCTCCAGACCTCCCCACCTTCCCAGGGAAGCCAGAACTCAGGATTTCCATATGGAAATGCCTGGTTTCCAGATGTGCCGCCCGTGTGCACAGCTGCACTCCTCACCCAATGTGGGGGCCACCAAGTTGCAAACCCTTCAATAACGACACCAGCGAACGCAGGGGGCTGTTATAAAGCACTTTATAAAGTTTATATATCATTTGACTCTCACAACAGCTCTAAGACATAGGCACTTTCCAGATGAGGAAACGGAGGCACAAAGAGGTCAAGGGGCTTACCCAGTCACAGGGCTGGAAGTGGCAGAATCAGAATTTGAACCCAGACAGTCTGGCCCGGCTCTTAACCCCTCCACACCATCTACAAGGTGCTACTGGTGACCCACCCAAATCCCCTTTATAGACGGCACTCACCCCAGCTGTCAAGCCAGATGCTGACAGCTACACCTGGACGTTCCACTGGGAGCCACTGGTGCTGGAGTCGGACATCTGGGAACTTATTCACACACATCCCCTCCCCCGGCCATGCCCTCTCCCAACACACCCTGTAGCCAATCACCGATGCTGGGGCAAACTGGTGGATTCATGCTCCAGAGCTCCCAGGGGATTGGCCTGAGTTTAGATGCATTTGACCTGCCCCTCGGCCCAGCTCCTTCCTGCCTTGTCCTGCTTCGTGGACTCCCTCCTCCCGAGGGCGCTCCATCGATAAGCAGGAACCCCCATCTCCGGTTCTAAGCCAGCCCATCTGCAGAAAGAAGGACCCAGAGCCTGCTTGTCCTTTTGAACCAAGAAGTGCCAAGGGCTACAGGGACTTTATTTCTGCCCTGCCCAACCCAAGCCGAGGTGGCAGAGCCCTCTGCCGTCACGCCACCCCCGACACAGGTCCCAACCAGGCTCAAGTCATCACACACACGTCTACTGTGGTGGGCTCCTCCCGGGTGAAGCCGTCACCGAAGCCCTCATCGTCCACCAGGTCGGGCTTGCGGCAGCACATGGGGCAGAGGCGGTTGCGCACAGCGGAGGCCCGGAGCCAGACGATGAGGTTCCATCGCTCGCCCGTGCCCAGGGGCCGGGCCCCGTGCAGCTGGCCGCCCCGATGCAGCACACCCTGGCCCACCACATGCTCCACCTCCAGGGGGTTGGCCAGGGCTGAAGGCGCCTGCAGACAGCTGGGGTCAGGTCTGGGCACTCGCAACTACCCCAGGCCCTGCCCCGGGGGTCACACACACTAACCTGGAAGAGGCCCCCGAAGTATAGGGCGCCCCCGGTGAAGGCCTTGCCCAGGGACACGTTGATGGTCAGCTCGGCGTTGTCATAGTGACAGCCCAACTCCCGGTCCTGGCCTGGTGCATACTTGACCACGAAGGCTCGGTGGCTGTCGAGCCAGCCTCCGCCACAGTCTGGGTAAAGGAGGGCCATCAGTGGCTGGAGGAAGCGCTCCCGCAGCGGCGTCACCAGCGGCTCATCCAGGCCCAGCTCATGGAGCAGCACCTGGAAGGAGGGTTCCAATGAGGCCCCGAGATGGGGAGGGATCAGCTGGGAAGCTGGTGGGGCCCCACCCTGGGTCCCTGGGGTGTCCCTTGACTTGTTTAACTTCATAATCCTGCGATTTCATTTTACAGACGGAGAGACCCAGGAACAGAGAGGGCTACACAGCAGGTCCATAGCACTGCAGGTCAGTCTCCCCAGACCCATGTGTCCCTGCCTCCTCAGCCCGCCTGGCAGAGCCGCACCCACCCCATAGTTGTTCATGGTGTTGGGTCTTCCCTTGGGCATGTCCGACTGCTCGAAGTGCTCCAGCTCCTCCAGCAGCGCCTGGCAGAACGGCGCCGTGAACACCGGCAGCCGGTAGATCCGCTTCTCCTCTGCAGGGGGGACAGTCTGTTGGCCGGGAGCTTCGGGTGCGTTTCAATCTCCCCGAGTTGTGTGAGCCTGGGCATGCCTTTTCACTTCCCCAGCCTCAGTTTCCTCGTCTGTATAATGGGGATAACTCGGGCACTCTACACCCCTCTCGGGGCCATTATGAGGATTAAATGATGCATGGTATGCACAGCACTGGGGGGGGGGTTCTATTCTCCAATTCACACCCCCCCCTCCCCCCGCCACACACACACTCATCCCTGGAGCCCCTCATCCTGCTTCCAAGGGTGCCATGGTCTAGCCTTCAGACTCAGATGTGAGTTCTGATGAGGCTCTGAGATGGGGAGGGATTAGCCCAAGGACACCCAGCAGGCCAGCCAGAGCCAAGCCAGGACACAGAGCCTGCTCGGGCTCTCTCTGCACCCCTCCCCCCAGCGAACCGCCAAAGTCTGCACCCCAACTCAGAGGTTTCTTGGAGTTTCTGTTCCCCATAAGGAAGGCTGAGAGGGGCTGCTTTTTTGGAGGGCGCTGGTGGGGAGAGGCCCGGCTCAGAATGGAAATGGGGACATTCTTGGCAGACACACACGTTTGGGCCAACTCACAAGCAGCCCCAGCCCCACCCAAACAGCCTCCTTACAATTTCAGCTGCTCTGGAGTGGAGGGCAGTGAGTCCCCTCCCAGCCTGGAAGGGGAGTCTCATTCTACCCTGTGCCCCCACAGGATGCAGGTGCCCGGAGGGGAGTGGCTTTTACCTCTGTCCCCCCACCGGATCCCCCAGACCCAGGATAACAGTAACCGTAAGACCCGGAGAATTCTGTGCACATACCACGCTCAAGCCTCTAAGCGCATTACCTCTCACCCGATCATCACGGCACCTTTCGAGATGGGCGGTATTATCGTTCCCATTTCACAAATGAGGAAACCAAGACAGACAGGTTAAGGAACGTGCGAGACTCCCTGGCCTAGGACTTCTGCTGAGTTTAGCCAGGGGGAGGCCCCAGCAGGAGGTGGAGGGCAGAAAGAGAGACGGGGCATTTTGGAGTCTGGCAGGGATGTGTGTTCCTGCCGGTTGTCTGGCAGCCCCTCCCACAGCTCCAGGTCCCTGCAGCTTCAAGAAACGTCATCTTGCCCACTCCTTCAGGTCCAGAGACAGGAACGCTCCCCTCTATTGCTGGCCCTGCTGGGGTCCTTCACCTCCCTTGCTGATCCTTTTAGCTCAGCCCACACTGTCTCAACTATCCCTTCCTTAAGCTCTTCAGTCACCCCAGCTGGCTCATAAGACACTGAACAGCTGTGTCTCTTGGGTGAGTGCATGGATGGATATAGATGCCCTGCTCCTGTGCCTTCCAGCCCCTGCTGGTTTGGATTTTGGAGGCACACATAATGGACAGAGGGGACCCCAGCCTCCCACCCCCTAGTCCTGCCAGGTCATGGGGCCAAGACCTCACCCGACACCGTCTCCAGCCGCTGGAGGAGGCCCTTGAGGTCTGCACCTGGCAATGCGCTGTACTCAGCTGCGGCCAGAAACTCAGGGGCCAGAGCCACATCCTGGGGAGAACACACACCCACTATGGGGCAGGCAGCCTCCCCAGCCTGGATGCCTCCTCCTCCCAGTAACCTGCCCCTGCTGGGTACCTGCAGTGAGTTGTAGATTTCAGGCCGAGCCGGGTGGTAGGAGCTGGCGATGAGGGCTTTCCTGGCAGCCGACTCCTGCCCTAGGCGCTTCCGCCGCTCCACCTCCTGCTCCAGCTGGGGTGGCACAGGGCCTGGTTACCAGGACAGGGCCTCTCATCCCCTCGAGGCCATTGTACAGATGAGGAAACTGAGGCCCAGGACAGCCAGAGCAGGGCCCAGGCCGGGAGCCAGGTCTGCCTATGCTCCTGACTCTGACAGGGTTGATTGCAGGTGCCTCGCTGTTAGCTGAAGGGGACTCCTTCCAGAAGGGGGCCCAGCCCACTCTGGGCTATGACAGCCTTGAGACGCCCCTCAGCCAGCTGGGGCCATGCAGGGAGGGGAACGAAGTCCCAGCAGAGGGCTCTCCCCGGAAGCTTCCCACCATTACCCCCAGGTGAGGGAGGAGGGGCGAGATGGGGAGCAGCCCTGGTGGCAAGGGAAGCAGGGTCGGAGGAGGAATAGCAAGGAGCCTGGCAGCCCTGGCAGGACCTCAACCCCAGGGGCTGTGAAACCTTGAGCAAGGGACTCCCCTTGTTGAGCCCATTTTTTTCATCTCAAAAGAGCATGAAGTAAGGCAACTTGGCAGCCCTCCCTCTTTCTCCTTTTCTGGTGCCAGGCCCCGGCTGCTGCAGTGAGTGGGCACAGGAAGGGGGAAAGGAGGGTTTAAGGAGCCCTTCGGTGATCTGGGACTGGCAGGCCTGAGGCTGGGACACCCCTTCAAGCCGCCGACACAAATCTAAAATGGAAGGTCTAGGCCGGGTGTGTAGGGGTGTTGGAGGGTGGTGAGTGTTACCTCTTCTAACAGCTGCTGGAAGTCCTTGGGGGTGACACAGCCTCGGCTGCGCAGGATCTAGGAGCAAAAAGGTCAATGAAGCCGACTACATGACCCTGGGCAAGTCGCTTAACATCTCTTGAGTCTCAGTTTCCCCTCCTAAAATGGAGATGAGAGCCCGGACCGCAGGGGACCATCGTGAGGATGAAATACGATGAGCGCTAAGTCCAGAGCGGGGTTCCCTGAGCCAGGCCCTGCACTAAGCACATATGTGTTAGTTCACCCACACGACAGCCTCACTAGGGAGTTATGCTTATCCCCAGTTAAGGGGAGAAAACTGGGGCACCGAGAGGCCAAGCCACTGCTGCGGTCAGATCTGAGCACGCGGGCCACCAGCGACCGCGGGGACAAGGGTCCCTCCTCCGCCAGCCCTCCCGCGCCTTCCTCTGCGGAGCTGATGGAGGCCACTCACAGGGCCGTAGTCCGCGCGCAGCTGCTGCTCGCCCCGGAAACGCACGTGCAGCCCGTAGCGCGCCACGTACAAGTTCTCGGAGCAGAAGCAGGCGCAGCGGCAGAAGCGCTGCGGGACGCCCGCCGTCGCCATGGTGAGGGGGAGCTCGCGGCCCCGCCGGGTTCCGTAGGAGCACTTCCGGGTACGCCCACTTCCGGCAGCCAAGGATCCGGTCTAAATTACCGAGCGCAGAGAGGAACGAAGACTCCGCCCCGCCCCCCGAAAACGGTCTGCGGTGTAGAAAGATGTGGCCATGGTGAGGGGGCGCTCGCGGCCCCGCCGGGTTCCGTAGGAGCACTTCCGGGTACGCCCACTTCCGGCAGCCAAGGATCCGGTCTAAATTACCGAGCGCAGAGAGGAACGAAGACTCCGCCCCGCCCCCCGAAAACGGTCTGCGGTGTAGAAAGATGTTCCCGGGCCTTCTCGCGCCGCCGCCTCACAATGTCCCCATCCACGAGGCGGGGACTCGGACCCCCCCAAGACCTTTTGCCACCTCCCTTTTCTGCTCGGAGCTTCTGAAGAACCAGCCAACTCCACGGGGACAGTTAAAGGCGCCCTGAGGTTCTGTCGCGTTTCCTCCAAATGCTATGAACCATCCAGTTCTGTGCGTTTGAGCTTGGGGTTTAGCATTTTTTCCCGGGTCCCTATCCCCCCTCTCCCGTTGCCCCCGCTGTCTCCTAGGAGTCACCGCTGGTTGCCACAGTGTCTCCACAAAAAAAAGTTCCGTCCGGCGTAACTTCCGGTGGCAGTCAGGTGTGGGGCGGGGGAGCAGGGCGTGGTCTGTCCGCGGCCACACCCCGCACAAACCGGTCTCAGTTCTGCGCAGCCGCTGTGCGAGATGAGTGCTATTTCTCTTCGCGTGCAACCCAACCTGAGGGAGACCCATCGCCGCACACACCGGGACCCCAGTCATGGTCCGCCGTGCACACCCCGCCCCCCCCCAGACCCAGGTCTGCAGAACTGGAGCAAGTGGCTTGGATCGGATTGAAAACCTATCACCGAGATGGGAGAACTGAGGCGCGGAGCAGGGGAGGAAGTCCCTCCTCCTGGAATTGGTCCCTGACCCCTGCCCTAGCGTTTCCCCGCGTTATGCGGGATGCGGGTGGGGAGGAAGACTCTGGGCCGCAGGACTTCCGCCCAGACCCCAGATACACCGGTGACTGCAAGTGATGGCACCTGCTGTCCCCGCTTCCTCCCCCCTGGACTTCTGGATCCCTCACCCGCCTTTCACCCCTACAGCAAACCCTTGAGCTGGGTACTGTTACGTCTTCATGTGATACAGATGGGGAAACTGAGGCTCCGAAGTGCAGGGACCGGCCCCAGGTCACTCACCAGTAAGGGACACGCAGGGGGTTTGAACCCCGAAGTCTGCTCTCTGACTCCCCTGTTCACCGCCACAGGGGGTCAGTGGTGAGGGTGAGATGCGGAGGGAATTTGAGTTTTCTCTTTGTGCTTGTTGGCATTTTCTTAACGAGTCTGCTTTCCTTTCCCTGTTCTTACACATGTGTGCGAACCACCGTAAACACATGCACTCCAGCACATATGTCCATGCTAACACATTTACACGCAACCACACATGCCATCAACACACTCACCCCCCCATACACATCCTCATGAACACATTCCGCATACAGTGATGGTTGCACATTCGTGCACACACCACCCCCCCACACACCTACTCACCCACATTCACATCCCACACACACCTGCTCACACGCAGCACAGCCCGGTTCCTCTCTTCTCTCTGCAACTTACTCTCCAAGACCCACCCGTTGCTCTTACTGAAGCCCCGGAGCCCAAAAGGGAGAGGGAGACCCTCACGTTCTGTGATTCGGTGTCTCCATCAGCACATTTGGGGATCCAAGGCTCCAGCCAGCGGTGTCCCCGCCTTTCCCCAGTGCCTCCGGGGACCAGGAGAGGGCGCCTGCTCTCTGGGCAAAGCCTATCCCAACAGCCGGAGTGGTTTTCACAACTGGCTGGGCAGGGGCTTTCAGACCTTCCTGAGTGTGTATGTCTACGAGTGTGTGAGAGTGTGTCTGCGCATGTGTGAGCTGTGCACGTGGAAGTGTGTTTTGAGTGACAGACAAGGCCCTTGCCCTTCTGAAGGTCTCAGTCAAGTGAGGGGAGACAGGGGCAAGCGAGGAAACCATCACATGATCGAGTTATTCTCACTTGGTTGCGAGTGCCAGGAGACACAGTGGGAGGGGCCTGGAAGTGGCTTCTTTGGACAGGTGGCCAGGGAGGCCCCCCCAAAGGGACATTTCAGCTGAGCCCTAACTGCTGCAGCAAGATCTGGCAGGAAGGGTCGTAGGCAGGGGAACAGAGTGCAGGTCACTTAACATCTGCTGTGGGCTGACCTTGACCAGCAAGGACCATGAGAGGGCAAGCCGGAGGCAGCGGGACCAGGGGTGGTATTGGGGCCGAAGCACTGGGCATAGGAGGCCACGGTTAACATTTTGAATTTTACCCTCCAGGCAAAGGGCAGCTGTTTAATCCTCACAGCAAACCCTATGAGACAGGAACTATCCTCATTTCACAGATGTAGAAGGGGAGGCTCAGAGAGGTCCAGTGACCCACCCAAAGTCACACAGCTCATAAGTGGTGGAGTCCGGAATGGAGCTCACATCTGACTGCTGGGTTGTTTATATAAAGGTCTGCATGGGCGCCCCCTCCCCGCTCAGGCATAAAATCAAGGTCACGGGGACCTCAGTTCCAGCCCAAGCCTGCTGGAGCTACCAGTCTTCCTTAAGGAGAGCGGCCGCGGGGGGCCAGCTTCCTTTTCAAGGACCCAACTCCCCAGCCCAGAGCTGTGTGACCCGAGAAGGTGTTTAAAGTTTCACAGGCATCTTGATTGCCCAGCGATAGCGAAGGGCCCTACTCGCCAGCAAAGGATCTATTTCCCCAGCTCAGTGCTCGTCACCCCCCTCACTGCCTTCCCCGCAGCAGGCCCCGGGCAGGCCAGCTCCCCAGCCTGCCACCGCGCTGGCCTGGCATGAGCAGCCTTTCCCCACCCGGTCAGGTTTCTCCCTTTCGCAGCAGTTTGCAAGATGAGCCTGCTCTGCCTGTCAGCTTAGACTGGCCCTCCTCGGAGACAGCGTCCCAGCCCCCAGCCCGCCCCAGCCTGGGCTCAGTCACGAAAGAGAACCCCAGCGAGAAGAATATAACAGTGAGCACCCAATCAGTGTGACTCCCAGCCAGCAATGACGCATTTTATTAACCGCAGCAGGTGTCTCCATTACCTCCATTTTACAGATGAGGAAACTGAGGCTCGGGGAAGTGCAGGGGCCTGTCCAGGGTCATAAACCCAGGGAAAATTAGGACAGCCATCCTGTGGTTCCAGAGTGCCATGGGTGGTGTGTGCGCTCGCATACACGTGGGTATGTCTGTGTGTGTATGCATATGCATAGGTGTGTGTACGTATGTACATATAGCACATGCTTTTGCATTAACATGGAATACCCACACAAAAA